ATGTCAGTAATAATAAATACTAGGACAGTTATAGTATGTATATGTAAAAATAGAACAATGAAACGCAATAACTGTAAGAATAAAAAATTCAAGAATATAAGATAATAGTCTTTTATATATATATATATGTATATGTCCTAGTCCCATCTCACATTTCTGTCATTACCAGAATGAACGAAGATCACAAAGTGTTTCATGCTTGACCTGTTATCTATACGTACATAGACATAGATACATACATTTGGCTTTTAAGAAAACGTGTAAAATTCTTCTTACACTTTTCTATGTTGAAAACTCCTACTATGCTATGTGAGAACAAAAAAATGACAAATATACCATTCAACTGACGTGAATCAGTAAATACAGAAATTAATTAAAAATAATTCCCACGCAACGTGTATAAGGAAAATAATGTTCTTACATGCGTATATAATATACGATATAAAAATAAAAAAGGCTCAAAATAACTCCATTCTTTTACGAAGTTAATTGGGAGTTTTAAATTTTAAAAGATATTATTCTTCATTTAAATGTTTTATAATTAATTTGTATTTAAAATAACAAACTAAAATTCCGATTGCATATCAGCCTGCTCTTCAGACTAGCCTTTCTTTTGTTAGTTAAAAATATGTGTTATTTTCGAAATGGAGAAACAAATCTCATCGCTACGGATTCAACACATTAGGCAGGAATCAATTTTTGTTTCATGTTTATTATTCATATAAGCTGGAATAGATCGAAAGTTAAATGCCTCATATTTTATCGACAAATAGTTAAACTATTATATAAATTGACGTTGTTTGTTCAGGAAATAAATTAATATAATAAATCCTTATTGCATAAAAGAAAACATTCACAACCATTTTAGTTACTTTGATTACAAATTAATTTTATAATTCAAATCTGATTCATATTTAAAACAAAAGAGGGTTACCAAAATATTGGGTCATTTTAAACGGGGGCAAGAATGAAACTTTGTTACTTAGTAATATTACTGGTATATAATAGTCCACTTATTATATATTATGTTACAAATAATACAATGGCTACACTAACAACAATACCAACAAAGCAATTCGCTTTTTCAAGCCGATCTGGTTTCTTTTTACAATTGACATCTTTAAACTATTGATTAATTTTATTAAAGTACTAAGCTGAACTAATTTTTGCTTAACTTTGTTATTTTATAATGTGTCATAATTAAAATGTTTATTTTAGGTAATATCGTGCTAGTGCTTAGCAGTAAGTAAAATTAAAGTATGTTGCTTGAATTGTAATGACCGGGTATTTAGCCAATAATTAAACTTTCATCTCTAGAACTTCAGATTTGACTATCAAAAATACATTATTAAACAAGATTAAGTCCAATACAAATATTTGTCAACGTCTATTCCCAAAATGACAGGGGAGAAAGTTCAAAAAGAAAACTAATACATATGTGTCAACATTATACATATGTGTGTATAATTGGAAATTAACTATTGAATTGGTATAAAGATCGTGTGTCCTAAAATGAAAAGCATGTTTTTTACTATTATTTTATATGTTTTATCAAATATTTCGTTTAGTTATTTAAATCATTTACTACTAAAGTCAACTGGATTTCTGGTTTTGATATCTGTTTGCGGTCTCTCTGTAACTTTAATAACACAACCCGACCCACGTTATGTTAAAATATCCAGCGACAGGGTTCGTGTTTACATCAACAAAAATTCAATTTAAACTAAAGTTCATTACGCGATTATTTAATGAATTAAAATGTTATTTTAACTTTATTTATTTAAAAGTATTATTACTACCTATTAACCTTTAAAGAATATTCTAGAAATTTACTAGAAAGATGAGAGTCAAATAATGGAAAGAGCTGTATCGACTGGCTTTCAAATTACACCCTTATGAAAATGAGAAACGACTCTTTACTGCGATGTGCTCTGATGTTACCTGATGCAGAAAGCCTTGTGTTGTTTTTCACAGAAATACAAATGAAGACGGATTTTATAAACCATCGAAAGATATGCTATTACATCATTTTTAGAAATGTAAGGTATTTATTAAATCCGATGAGTATTACAAAGGCGTTAGTTTGTACATGTATGTCTGATTATTTATTATAACTGGTAACCTGATTAAAAAAAAATATTAGTACTCTTATATTAGCTTTAAAACACATAAAAATTAATGGTAAAAACTTATTACAATCCGTTGCTTACTTTATATAAAATTAAAACAAGCTTAGACTTACTAAATTAATTTAAACATCTCTTAATTCCTATGAAAAATTGTAGGAAAATATAAACAAGTTACTACATAGAATAAATTCAAAACATAATATATATGGTTTAATTTGAAAACAACAAACTGCAGGTGAATAATAAATGGAATGTAACCCGCTCATACAATTTCAGGCCATTGTTGTGAAAATCACATTCAACGAAATCGAGACCTAATTCACAGTCTGAGAGCATTTAAAAAGAGCAAGAGCAAATTGTTTAACTCTTTGTGAATTAAAATAATTAACTTCGTGATTCTGAAATTGAAAAAATACAAATACTATATTCAAAGTGTTGTTTATGACAATGAGCAACCTAAAACGCACACACAGATAAACATATTAAGCATTACATTATGTTTATTTACTATGTTTTCATTTATTTTTTACATTCAATCAGTGCATTAATTATTTCAGTAGTTTCATTCATAACGCGATAGTTAATTACTTTTTTTATTATTACGAGACAAAGTATGTAACTACAGACTTTAGAAATAAAATAAAAGATATGCTTTTTAACAGTACCAGGACAATATATTTAATATTATTTTTCTAACACATTATTAATATTAGAAGTTACCGAGTTTTACCCTTTTTCTTCTAAAGTGACAAATTGAAGGAAGAGAAATTTCAACAACTGTTTTATTTTAAATAATTAATTATTTGTTCTCTAGAAGTGACTCTTTATTTTATTGTAGAAACTTTGAAAGTAATTCTCTAACTTCTAACTCTTGATTATTATTAATTGGTTTAAACGATTATAATATAAAAAAGACTTAAATCGACGTGTAACTTTGAAATGATCACGTTTTAATTTGTTCAAAGAAAATTTTTCTTCTATTCATTTTTCAATCTTCAAGCCTCGCAAAGGCAATCTTTAAATCGTTTAACAAATTATTACCCGGATTTTACTAGTCGTTTATATAAATAAACACATTTCATACAACATACATTTTATATAATAGTATTTATAGTACATAAAAATAATATTACCTAACCAAATAGAGTTAAATGCGCGGTTAATATAAAATATTTAGTCATAATCTCAAGTTTCAAACGTTTTGAAAAATTCGCTCACAAACAGCGATATATTTAGATATAAATAACGATCCATTCATTTGAGTGAAATTATTTTTATACTTACTTCATCAGCCGGTTTCGTTCATTAAACCTACATATATGAAACCTTATGTACAGAGATATTAATGAATTATTTATTATTATACATAGACTCAAGAACGGGAGTCACCGACATAGCCCGAAGAATTGCAGTACTTAAGTGGCAGTGGGCAGGGCACATCGCTCGCAGAACCGATGCCCGATGGGGCCAACGGGTTCTTGAGTGGCAACCACGAGCCGGAAGACGCAGTGTAGGTAGGCCCCCAACAAGGTGGTCCGACGACCTGGTGAAGGTCGCGGGAATCCGCTGGATGCGGGTGGCACAAGACCGGTCGTCGTGGAGATCCTTGGGGGAGGCCTATGTCCTGCAGTGGACGTCTTTTGGCTGATAATGATGATGATGATACATAGACTACATATATGTTTGCTTATAATTTTTCCTTACTCTTACCTACGACTGATAACCTTTTCTGCTGATACATAGAAATATTTTAAAGAAATATTAATATTCTAAGTTCAAATCATTCGATTACTTGGACACGGAAGAAATAAAAACTTGTCACAGATTGACATGTTTGATATACGAGAGAAAGTTTCGCCCTAGTTAGAAGTTCTGAAAATAAAGATACGAGTAACATCCATATACCTTTAATGATAATATTTAAAAATTAGAAGAATCTGGAGAGCCTAAAACGAAAACAGACTGGGGGTCTGTGTAAAAATAATTAATAACTCTTATTGAAAGTTAAGTTAACAAGATTCTTCACAATAAATATATCGAAACGAATATAAAAGAACATTATAAGAAAACAACAATTTGTATTTATGATGATTAACAACACTATTGGGTTAAGAAAAAAACTGTAAACTTTGTATTTTTAATTTAAAATATTATGGGTCAATGAAAAGTCTTAAAGGTTAAAACAATAATGTGATTGGAAGGAAAGAGAAAACGAGATTAGGAGATCATGCACTCTTAATCATCATCTGGAGAACATCTTTAATAATTACCTTATTATACGTCACTTTCTGTGACAGAATGACTTTGACCTGGACCAGCGGAACCAGTATAGAAACTTACTTTTATTTTTATTAATATTTTAAAAAACTATGTCTCTTTGAAGCATGTATATTAAGTGTCTCACACTAGTCAACTTTATTAATTGTATATCTTTATTATGGTTTACTACATATAAAAGAGATTTATATTTAATAGAAAAAATATATTTGATTATTTTGAAAGTAATGGGATAAGTAACAACAGTATATATTATATATATATATACTATATCTACATAAAATTGCTTAATATAAAATATAGTTAGAAATATATATCCTCGATTAATACACACGTTTCAAACAGGAGATGAAAGTGTCAAAACAAATGATTAGGGTAACTGTAAAAATGACAGTATACTCATAAAAATAAGTCAATTGAATACCAAAATAATTTTTTATTTCAATTCTAATATCTTAGAAAACATTTACAGTAGACGAAACTTCTCAGCATTCCATGGATTCACCGTGCGGGTGCCGGGTCCATCGCGTTGCAGGGGGAGGAGCTTCAACAGTGCCTGGGACTTGCGACCCAAGTGTAGGTTTAAGGGGCCCCTTAACTAACGCGCGTTATACGCTCACCTCCACTGTCCAAGCTCCTCTCCCTACCTAACCAAATTTGAAAAGAACCTACTAGGGCTGCCTTCGATGTACGTTCCAAGAATGCATTAATGCGAGTTCTGGACAGGCCCAAGTCCTTTAGTAGGTTATAGAGAGATTTCGCTGTTATACCTCTCGCTCCCACCTCTACCGCGTACAAATCTACTACGAACCTATTTCGAGTGAGTTCGTTTGTGAGCTCGTAATATTTGTTGACCTTGATGGTATGGTCTTTGGGGATGTTGGTTTCCCAAGGGACCGTAAGCTCTATCATCACTACGCGCTTTAAAATTCGCGAAAACAAAAATATATCCGGTCTGGAGGCCGACGCACAAATATCCTCGGGGATTTTATATTGTTTTTCATACGTGTCCATCATTATAGTCCAATCCGACGCCGCTTTAAGGATGGAGTAAGGCTTGACGTTTGATTTTGTAGCCCTAGTGCCTTCTCTCACAAAACCTATACTTTATAATTTGGAATGATTTCGTTCTTTTAAATAGAACAGACAAAAAAGGTTGACACGTACGTCTGTCAAGTTAAAATATGTTAAATGTAAACACATTAAAAAGTTTTCTTGACCTAAATTTTAAAGATAATTATAATACGGCTAATTCATATTTTTTTTAAATAGCAAATATAATATTACCATGAATGCACAAATAATTGAGAAATACGTAAACGGGAAATCAAATGGCGTTTTAAAACAAATAAATTATAAAGAATTTGGTTTACAGAAAAATTATCTCACTACTGTATCAAGAAATCAATACAAAAAATGTATAATCTAACAACTACAAGTATTATAAATTGATGGTTTGATATGATATAAGGATAAAACCCTTCTCGAACACTCCGCACTTTATATAGGACCTTAACACTACCATTCCTAGGAGTTAGGACCTAATCGCTGCACTAATACCTTCAATAAACACATTGAAGACGTGAAAGGAATTGTAGTAAAAATTCTTAAAGTCAAAATCAGTGAGCAACTAGCTTCCTAACCTTCAGGGACTTTTGTTAAAAATTTTAGTATGGAATGTCTATTATTTAACAAAATTAGAATGAATCGGACGTATTAATACTATCTTCCAAGTTATTAATTTGATATATTATGTGATTAAATAAATGTAAAATATATTTTAATATAAAAAAGGACGAATCACAAAGAGATCTGTATCTACTTGATGAATCCTTATGTTGATATACGTTATGGTATTTAAGCAGAAATTATGCCTACTTATCTGAATCTGAACAATGCTCCGTGTACGCGTCAGGCTCAATTAACAGCCGCACGGCGAGAAAAATCTCAATAAATCCAATAAAGTGAAGCTCCGAGCCTGGAAATTAGCACAACACCAATAACACGTCACACTATATGGTCTCATGTCCACAGAATTCAACAGAAAGTTAAAGGATTCACCAACAAAACAATAAGCAGTTTATATTAAGTTTAATAATTATGGCGAGAGTGGAAAAGGCTAATGTTATATTAGCCTCAGCCAATCAAACACTTCAATTAATTTCGTCTCAATTATGTTCAAATATTTGTTCCTAATTCTCTGCAATGTACATATTTAAAGACTTAAATATAATTGCCAGCGAAACTTTATGTAAAATGAATTATGAAGTAACTATACTCGATACTTTGTCCTGATTGAAAAGGAAGTCCGGTTAGCATATTTTTAATAAATATTTATATTTATTTGGACTTTTAACACCATTATTGTGGTATAAAAAATAACTTTACAAAAATTATTCTCTATACATGTATTCATTTTGTATATTTCATGAACATACAGAAAGAAGTTACATTCTTATTATAAGTAAAGATGGAGAAAAGTAGAAGCTAAGAGATACAAACTTTCTCATTCAACAAACTAAACACTTAGCTGTGAAAGTTATATAACATCCGCTTTCTTTAAAGAACCTGTTACTACCCTTAAGAAAAGACAATACACATGCAATTATTTTGATGGAAAAACTCTACCTTGTTAAAGAAAACTGTAGAATAGTACGATCTAACGAAATTTCTAGAGTAGTGACGTTATAATAAATAATATACAAGACTTTAGAGAAGAAACTAACTTCTGATTACAAATATCATATATGTAAGTATAGTAAATTCAGAATATTTGTCTGTCTTTTAATGTTCATACTTGAATAATTATTTAGACAAAGTGACTTCACTTCTCAAAACTAAACGAATGAAAAATATATACTGACAACTACTACTGACAATATAGGTTTTGGTTTGTGTGGCATGAATATAACTTGCAATTTCAAAGTGTTACTAATTGCAATTCAGCAATATTGCTCTCAAAGTTTATTGAAATGTAGATTTGCATTATCGGGTCTTTGCAGATATTTTACTGATCAAAACAGATTTTGCCAAACAACTTTCACCTTTATTTCCTCGTATTCCATTCCAAATAATATAAAAAATAAGATACATATATAATTGTGAATACCAAAAAAAGTACTTTTCCATGTGATCCCATTTCCATTCAACTTTAGCCACTAAGAAACCATAATACCGCATAATTAGCAGTCAAAATTATAAATTTCATAAAAAGTATGAATAAGAAATTCAGGGACTAAACAAAGAATTCTTAATTTCCAAAACAGTTCCTTATGATTAAGTACTACTGAATTCTTGAGTCATATAAAGTCCCATTCATATGATAGTACGAACAAGGAAAACAGTTCAATAATAACATTTCATATAAATAGAGATCTCTTTAGTTGAAATTCTCACATGCTCGTCAACTTTCGTCATTATAACACAGCTATGTCTCCTCTTATACTTTTGACATTAAGTGTGTATCTGCTCATGACTGCAGCGGGCTCAGTGATCAAAGTACGAGAATTATCTGTGCCTGAGGGAGAATCTTTAAACATAAAGTTACGAAAAGATGCTCTCGATAAAGGAAAAGTTGAAGCAGATATGAGAATCCACTTTGAAGATGAAGAAAAACATGAGTCACCAATAATATTTAATGAAAAGGAGAGTGACGCTTCGGGTTTAGTTAACAGATTCGCTATACGAGGAAATGGAAGATGCCCATCAGGTCAAGGAAGACGAGGTCCAATTTGTGTCTGATCATTCAAAAAGAACAAAAAAGACAGCTTACTGTGTGAAAAAAAAATTCACTGCGATTTATATTGCAGTGTGAACTGTATGATTTTATTATTATTAATTTATTTTATAAACCAGTTTGAAATTATTACTGATCTTTCACTAAGTTTCGTATTTTTAGAGTATATTCATTATAACTTTACTAGAAAGACAATGAAGAATTAATCATATTTTTAGGCAAACTTTACATAGCTTAACACTTTTATATTTTCTTCTTATTGCTACAACTTAAAAGTCAATATACGCTAAATAAGTAGACTTATTTATTTATTTTAAGAAATAAGATAGAGCATATAATTTAATTTTAACAATTTAACAAAAAAAACATATATGTATATTAAGAAATACACTTATCTTTATTAGGACTCCACCCCTTGCCATCTTAACGATAGAATTTTTAAATATCTTTCAATTTTTTTTAACCACTAATACAAATTAACCTGATATAACAGCAATCAGATAACTAGCTTATAAGTAACTTATAGCAATTCTCATCATAGCGTGATCGCGAAGTCGATTTCTTCTTAATCGATTATTTACCTTGCATTAGGAAAATCACCTTCCAGTAATTGGTTTTGCGTTGCACAACGTTGAGGAGTTAGAGTAATTACAGAAAAGATTAATGTTTGAACTCTACTACAACATACAAAATATATTTTTACACTGATTTACTTGCATCAAATTATTGTTTATATGTTTAAATTACTTGCAAAGTTTTAATTATAGTGTTTAAAAAAAATTATATCGAAATAGGTTGTGAATAATTTGAAAGGAATTTTCTGGTAGCAGAGTTATAATTTGTACATACGTTAAAGGGGAATAAAAATAATAAAATCTCTGATTTTATGTCATTTCAAAAGGTCAAGCATGAAGTTAATTGTTTCAGGTAGGTTTAAAATTTGCATATGGTGTACAGATGAGATATTCAAGCGTTGCTTAGAAACTTAGGACAAATAAACCTATACTAATTTAAATGTGACAAAATCTTAATTTTTAGAAACATTCTAATACATGAAGTACTGTAGAACATATTTAATGAAAAGAATATAGTATATTTGCATATAAATACTCCCATATTTTTCAATTAATTCTCATAAATTATGAAATATAATTTATCTTTAATTAAAAACTCATTCGCGTGATTCAATAATCATTACATCATACAACCAGCAGTCCGCGGTTTATTCGCTTAATTAGTGAAAACCAAGTTTTGACGAATTCTTAATTAAGAGTAAGCTTTTAATTACGAATCTAATTAATCTCATTTGGTATGTACATTTACAAAGTGGAAAAAGCTTTGTTTATAACCTTTTAATACATGAACTTGTAGTGTGAATATGGATGGATATTTGAAGTTGTTTAAACTTTACGTCAGATTGAATACGACTTATGAATCAGTACATTTTAGATACTTTTATATTATATTCATAGTGTTGTATAACTACTATTCTTTATATAATTCTCTTGTTATATATACGAGAACGTTTGTTAATGATCAACATCACAGTAATTCACAGAGAAATGTCAATAGGGTCATTAGATGAGCCGATTCTGTTATATTAGTGGTTCATATTGACAGTGTAAGTAGGGGCACTGTGATTTATTTTATCTTAGCCTGGATGTTCATTATATATACTCTAAAAAATAATTTTTATTTGAGGATTTTTTTTAGTTGGTTTAATAATTATCTAAATATTGAAAGTGTTATAAAAATTTAACGGCAACAAAGTATTCAATCAGTTATTGTGAAAGTGGCGTTAAATAGATTGCATATTTTTAAATAATATAATAATTTTCGGATGATTTAAATGTGTTAAAGAAATTGTTTGAGAGTTTAATAACTAGTTAGTGGAGAAATAGAAAAATGGGATGAGAAACACCATATTTATTTTTTAAGTTATTACAATAATGTTTCTTATTTATGAGATCACTATATCTTGTCAATATTGGGCGAGTCTCTAGTACATAATTGTTTGTAATTTTTTAAAATTTAACCATACGTTTATATGAAACACTATTTTATAATTTCACTCGCCCACATTTGCATTTTTATCGCAAACTTTGATTTTTTTGAACTTTCCATTAAATATTCAGGTGAAAGTACAATGAAAATATCCAAAGTTAAATAGGAAATGTATTTGTATTTAAACTTGTTTCTAGTTTGTTATATTTATTAAATATTTAGTTTATATTCCACGTGCAGGCTCAACCCTAGTCACGCTACGAACGGTATGTCATAG